AGCTTCCTGTCAAAGGACAGCTTCCTGTCAAAAGACAGCTTCCTGTCAAATGATAGCTTCCTGTCAAAGCTTCCTGCAGGAGTGAGAAAACAGCTCCAGAGCAGCAACACCTTTGTGACTATTTTGAAAAAAAAAAAGTTTTCTCACAAATATTTCAGAACCTGTTTCAAACTCGTGACGGCCCGTCCATCTCCGATACTCGCATGAAAAAGTTCAGAAGTTAAGACAATCTGGAGACTCCTTCGTGAACATTTTACTCTCAGCTCAGCGAGACGACGCCTGAACGCCTCGCCGTCACTCACCATCCGCTCCAGGTTGCTGATCTGATTCTCGGTTTTGTCCAAGAGCTGGTCCTGGTACCGCTTCTTCTTCAGCAGCAGGAGCGCTTTCCTGTTTGTTTGTTTTTTTTCAAAACAGTAAAAAATACATTTAAGCTTTGGAAGTATTTATTACAAGTAAAACCACAGAGAAGGAACAGTAGATGTGTAATTAATTACAGCTCTGCTTCAACATGACGTCAGTGACTCGGGTCTCTGGACTGTTTCACATCTCAACAGTCGTTACTGACTCATCCAGGTTTGTTGTACTAGACATTTTCCACAAAACTCACTCTTTCTTGCCATCCTTCAGCAGCTGTTTGGCTAAAAGTCTCTCCTTGTCCAGCTGCAGGTTGATTTTCTTCTGATACTGTCTCAGTTTGTCTCTCTGTTGCTTCAGTTGCTGAAATGAAAACCCGGCAAGACAAATAATTTCAACTAACAGAAATCAAACACAGAAGCTCAAGTTTCAGTTTCACTGAGTTTTATGAGATAAACTAAAATAAGTTCTGATCTATTAACTCATGCCGAATTAATGAAAAGCTCATAAAAGTAATGAAACGTTGTGTCGAGCCGTTTGTGATCTGGGAGAGTAATTTCTGACACGATAAAGTTTTAAATCGACGGATTTCTTAATGGAGTCTGGTCGGTGTTTACAGTTAGGTTAGCATGATGCTAACGTTAGCTAACTCACCAAAATGGCTTTATCATGTTCTGTCACTCGGGACTGTTTCTTCTTTCCAAAGAGATTGCCCATCTTGACACAGCATGCCCGCTACAGGAGTAAAATAAAAACTGTTTCAACATGAAACTATTCTCTACAGGCGGCGGTCGGTGGCGTTTCCTCCATTTTTCGTGTAGTCATGTCGGTGTCCACACCCACGTCAGGAAGGACGCAGTCTGGGCGGAGACGGCATCTCCGGAGCGAGGCTTAAATAAAGTGTCATAAAAATTAAAAACTATTCTAATCATGCGACATTTTGTTAATCAGTTGCCAAAATATTACTGAAAATACTTCGGCTGTTGGAACGAATCAGTGTAAACAAACTGCGCTGTATCCAAAACGCCTGTTCACTGCCCCCTGGTGGACAAAATACGAAACTGCAGTATTTGGTTTATTAAGTTAAAGTCAATTACAACAGAATCACGGATGCTTCCGGTTAAAACTTCAAAATAAAACAATAACGCGATTTTAACCCTGTATTAACCTTGTTTTAACCTTGTTTTAACCTTGTTATAACCTTGTATTAACCTTGTTTTAACCTTGTATTAACCTTGTATTAACTTTGTATTAACCTTGTTATAACCTTGTTATAACCTTGTATTAACCTTGTATTAACCTTGTGTTAACCCTGTGTTAACCTTGTATTAACCTTGTGTTAACCTTGTATTAACCTTGTGTTAACCTTGTATTAACCTTGTGTTAACCTTGTATTAACCTTGTATTAACCTTGTTATAACCTTGTTATAACCTTGTATTAACCTTGTGTTAACCCTGTGTTAACCTTGTTTTAACCTTGTATTAACCTTGTATTAACCTTGTTATAACCTTGTATTAACATTGTGTTAACCTTGTTATAACCTTGTATTAACCTTGTGTTAACCTGCACATGACAAATTAAACACAACTTGAACTTCTAGTGCAAACTGAAGCCCACTCCTCAGGCAGAAACTCCACTTCCAGTTCTTCACTACATATTGTCTGTACTGTCTCAGTTTCTAAATGAATTGGTCATTAATGAGTTGTAAAGTTCTGATATTGCTCCTTTAACTTGTTTTTCAATAAACATTTTCTCCTGTTGTGAATCCGAGGGTTTAGTTCTGCATCGATTTAAAGTTCTGCTGTGATTTCTGTTGTAGAAATTTATAAAAAATATTTGTTGGACGTATGTTTAAGTTCTTCAAATGACATATTGTTGGATTTGGCTGGGTACAAGTCATGAATCTTTTTTAAAGCCTCTGTTGATGAACTAAGTGACAAAACGACATTCGCCGGTCGTCATCACACATAATAGCTAAAAATAATCCATCGTTCAGCAGTTAAGTTGTTAAATTCACAGTTTTGTCTGTATTTAAACAAGCTGAGCACTGAACTGGAAAATATGAACCTTTTGTTGTAAAAAAAACAAAACAAAAAGTGTGTGAACCACCGTGAAATCCATCAATTACAGGTCGTGGATAATCTGCAATATGGACACAAACTGCAGCAATTTTACATCTTTATGCATATTTTTATTTAAAAGATGATCATTCTAATGTATGTTGATTTAAACAAAATATTGAATGCAGTTCAGTGAAAAGCACATGCAAACTTTGATCATGGTACAAATATTTTATAGCATAAAACTGAAGAGAAGCACGAGTCGACAAGTTTTCCTGTCATGACAGAATAAACTGAATGTTAGCATCCGTTTTCAGACAAGTAAGAGCTATTTGAAAAATCATGCAGTAATTTACTCAACTTAATGTTTTCAGGTATTTCTGCCAACATTGTTAACTGCTTTTCCATAAAAGACTAAAACTGAAGTACAATACACAATACAGTCCACTACCTTAAAAACTCAAACCAGTGAGTCACTTGAGTTTAAATTTGTTTACAGAAATTGCTTTAAAGTGAACTTGTTTAATAAAATAAATAGGAAAAAATTTTTTAATTGCAAAACATATTCTTAGAAAAAAAAACATTTAATATTTACTGTACAGACCTGCACCTAAAGAAAACAACAAAGCTTGGGCTAGTCATTCTTTTTAACCCTCGGAAAATCCTTTAACTTTATGACAATAAGGGTAAATTACTTTTGTGTGTGTTTGTATGTATGTATATATATATATATATATATATATATATATATATAGATATGTGTGTGTGTGTGTGTGTGTGTGTGTGTGTGTGTGTGTGTGTG